CTCAAACTACTTCTTCCTTCCCTCATGCATGGATGAGTGCCACTCTGGTTCTTTGGAATACCGACACACTTGCAAAGTCGGACCAAAAATCAAATAATACAACCTGCATTTATAATGAAATTTATAATTTTCTATGATAACTATACTTACAAGTTTTCTAACTCAACACATCATTCAACTCATTTACCTCTAAGATTGCTATGCACCCATTGAGGTATGTCTGGCTTCGGCCCTGAAAGCTAATTATTGATTCATTCAATCTGACATGGACATATTTAGCCCAATTCAATTCATCTTTCAAGCCTTCATCACAAATCAACTTTATATTGTCCTTTCTCGGGGATGTATCACCCGTTGGACAAAGAAAGATTCCGATAAGGTACAATAGAACTCAGGCCTTTAGGTTATCCCTGTCGTAAGCTCCATTTTTAATTTCCTTATCAAGTCTAGCATATGTCACCTTGGGCGTTAAATCATATTTCTTCTCAAGTGTTTTCCAGTTCTTCGTCTTAATGACTTCTTCAACACTATTACCTTTATCTTCTAGCCCCAATACAGCTACAACACATGAGACCCCCAGATGAAATGAATAATCACCGTATTGAACTCTACATTTTTGTACATCAAATTCCTCCATCAACAATCGACACAATTCCCTCTGAATTGGTCGATCCCTCACTCCGATCAAAGATCCAAACCCCATTTATTCCAGCACATAAACTTTATTCTTGTCCTTCATGTGTTCAATTATGGAGTTCAGTCTTTTGATACTACACCTTGTCGACACTTCCTATATTTTTTAAAAATATATAATGTTAGTGTTTTTATATATCGTTTATCATAGTATTTACAACTTTCATGAATACCTTCTTTTCATGTGCTTTCCTCCAAGCTTTATATTATTGTCTATCCTTTTTGGACCCTGTCGCATACGATTCCTTCTCAGCCTCATTCATCGACTTCTATTTCTCCAACACCTGATGTTTCACCTGAAATAAAGCATAAACATTTCTTAATCAATAAATTAATGCTAAATAATACTCAATGTTAATTTCAGTTTACATACCGAACCGATGTTATAATTACCATCTTCTTTCATCCTTTGGCATTCAGTCATACTATCAAGATTTAAATTTTGTAATCAATTTAAAGTTCTTAAATACTTTAATCCAATTACCATTTCAACAACAATTACACAAATACATTGATACTTACTAGAAGTACATATATCCACCCAGTGGTTGCTTTTGATTTACTTCATTGTTGATACTCTCAGGCTCCATTTCAATGTCATCTTCGCGAACAACAATTGCAAGATCCATTGACTTAGTTTTTTCTTCATATGTCAGCTTATGAATATTCAAGCATTAAATTAACTAAAATCAAATCAAATACAAGTTACATACAATTTATTCAATATACAAGTATCGATAATTAATCATATTGTAATCGAGTTTCCTTCAAAGGAATGGAAATACTCTCTACTACAAGTATTGATATCTATTATATCATTTTCAACCTATAATATTATATAAAAGTATCGATATTTATTTTTTATCTAGAATATCACTTTCTACCAGCAATTGGTCCCAAATCTTTCTTTACTTCGAAAACCCTAAACCCATAAACATAATCCCTATTTCTAAATACTGTAATACTAAAAAACTAGGGTTTCCTTCAAAGGAATGAGAATACTCTCTACTACAAGTATCAGTACCTTTATACAACCTACAATATCTTTTTCTACATATAATATTATATAAAAGTATCGATATTTATTTTCTACCTAGAATATCACTTTCTACCTGTAACCGGTCCCAAATCCTTATTTACTTCAAAAACCCCAAACCCATAAACCTAATCACTATTTCTAAATAGTGTAATACTAAAAAACTAGGGTTTCGACAATATACTTTTCGATTCGATTGTAGCAACAAACAAACAACTACGCTTTCAAAAAAACTCTTTGCTTCTATTTCGCAACAACTAATACGCATCAATTTCAAAACTATAGCCGTCTTATATCTATTTTAGAGAACTGTAGCAATGCCTTTGATATTTTAACCGATTATGTTATTTATATTTAATCGATACCATTACCCAAGTCTCAATACTTTTGTGTAAGGTATCGATACTTTTGATACGTTTTCATTTTTTCCATTTCTTTTCAATTCCTAAAGTACTGATACTATGATACATAACCTTATAAAAGTATTGATACCGTTAACATATCCCGTAGTGCTTTACCGATTTTGTCATATTGAAATTGGTTTTGTCAAATTTTAACCTGTTATATTGTCATTTATCGATACATGTGTCTAAGGTATCGATACTTTATAGGCGCTATTGTTGCAATTTTTTAATTCATAAAGTACCGATACTTTGGTGCATATACTTATAAAAGTATCGATACAAATTTCAACCATTTCGGTATCTCTTTATCGGTTTTGTCAAACTGAAACTGATTTTGTCAAACTTCAACCTGTTATATTGTCATGTATCGATCGATACATGTGTGTAAGGTATCGATACTTTCAAGACATTTTCCTTTTTTCATTTTTTTTAAATTCCTACAGTATCGATACTTTGGTACATATACTTATACATGTATCGATACAGATTTCAACAATTCTGGTAGCTCTTTATGATTTTCTCAAATTGAAATCGGTTTTGTCAAATTTCAACCAGTTTTGTCAATTTCCAATTGGTTTTGTCAAATTGAAACCGGATTTCTCAAATTTCAACCTGTTATATTATCATGTATTGATACATGTGTGTAAGGTATTGATACTTTATAGGCATTTTTATTGCAATTCTTTTGAATCACTAAAGTACCAGTACTTTTTATATATATACTTATAAAGGTATCGATACATGTCTACTTTTAACCGATTTTCATCACTTTCTTATATATTACTATATATATCGATACTTCTGTGCACGGTATTGATACCTACCGATAAGCTAAGTTTTTCGGTTGCCAAATTTTTTAATATTTCTTCATGTTTTACACCTACAACATTATTATTACTCAACATCTCTGGTAGCGCTAAACCGACTTTGTTAAGTATCTTATTAAATTTCCGGTCATGTCGTTTCTTAGCCGTATATTAGTCCGTCTTTGTTGAGACAATCCCCTCCTATTGATTGAATATTCAATAATATATATATATATATATATATATATATATGAGATAGGATCACGTTACACAATGTAATTTTTTTAGTTTTACATAGATTTAGTATCGTTGGATGAGTGAAAATAGTTGGTTGAGATTAACAATATGAAATTAGAAGATATTCACTGGGAAAAAAATTAAAAAATCAAACTCAACTATCTATTTTCATTCATCTAATAATTTTAAATCTGCGTAAAACTAAAGAGTTTTACATTGTGTAACAGGATCATGTTCATATATATATATATATATATATATATATATATATATATATATATATATATATATATATATATATATAACAAAGAATTTAGATTTATTTTAATGGTTTAGGTGCTCCATTATATTCGATTGACCCAAGTTTAAATCCTCATTTGATTATTTTCTTCTTGTCATTAATTATATTATAAGATATATAAGTTGTTGTAATCCATTAGCTAAAAGTGACATTTGGCATAGTGGTTAAGGCGATTCACCTCCTCTCAAATGTTTATATGTGATCCCTTTAACTTTAATTTCTTCGATATTTGTTTTCTCAAATCAGAGGAAAATACATGTCATTATATGAGTAGAAAGAAAATTTATTGAATTAATTAATAAAAAACCCTCTAAATAGGTAATGATATGTGTCATGACACTTGTCATTAGTGAAATGTGTTACCACTTGATGAATAATTAATTTTTTTAAATTAAATAAAATATAAGATCAAACTGATAGGATGTATAAATAATGAAAGACTAAATGTATATTTATATCAATTTGATTAACTGTCATGTAATTTTGTTGAACTATAAGCAGTGTCGATACTGTTCTTACAATATCGATACCTAATGAGCAATATCGATATTGTTCATATGGTACCGATACCAAGGTAAGGGAAGTATCGATACTTACTAGGTAGTATCGATTCTACCAGCATTACTCAAATTTCAGAATGTAAAAATGGTATCGATACCCAAAGGGGTACCGATATTACTCTGTATAGTAGTATCGATACCATAGGCATAGTATCGATACCATTAGGCCCCAACGGCTAGTAACGACTAGTTGATTTAAATATAACAAAGGTAGTACTGATACTCCCTTTAGGAGTATCGATACCCTCTGTTCTGGGCAGCTTTATTTTGCACGAAAATTAATCCCCAACGGCTCCAAAACACCTCCAACGGCTAGAAACAGCCACAACAACATTCCAACATATAAATACAAGTTTTGGTCACTTGAAGAAGGTTTAGAAACACCTATCCAAGCAATCAAACACAAGAGAAGAATTTTTCATTCTTATTTTCATTTCTCTTGTAAATATTGTGTTTGTGTGAGCTAAATTCTTGTAAACACCTTCCTTTTTAGAGGTTTTATTTGTTTAAATTCTCTTTCCTTGTAAAGGGTTTTTTGTTCTATCTTAACCAATTCAAAAGATAGGGAGTTGTAAAGTTATCTCTTTGTCCTTGAAAAAGAAAGAACAAATTAGTGAATTTGTTAGAAAATCCTTGGTGAGTAGTTAAGGTAGTGGATGTAGACTTGGTTGATAAGTCGAATCAATTTAAATCTGTGTCAAATTTTTCTATCTTTTATTCTCCTTACTCCCTAATCACATTTTTAACAATTAATCCCTTTGCACTTTTTCGATTTTTCAATTGAGCATCTTCTAAATCCTAACAAATTTCCTCCGTAAAATCTTAACGTAACATAACTTAATTGCTATCATTAAAATGTAATCTGATTGATAAAATTTAAAATGATAATGATTAAAAATATAATCTTTCCATAATTATGTTGCCATGGATTTAGTTTACCCGAAGTTTTATGTAAGTGGTGAAAATGTAACTCTGAAACTGGAATATGCTTGAGCTTCATGAAAACTACAGCAAAGTTCAGCGCTTTACATGAAGCTACAAATGAATTCCTTTATTCTTCTCTCTCCAAAGCCTTGTCATCAGCATCAAACTCTAAAAAGCTTCACAGAATCCACTCAAAAATTATAACTCTAGGATTTGAAAAATCTTCCTTCTTCTCAGGTAAACTCATTAGCAAATATGCTCAATTCAGGGACCTAACTTCTTCATTCTCTGTTTTCCGCCAAGTTTCACCTTCAGCCAATGTTTACCAATGGAATTCATTCGTTCGAGCTCTTACCCACAATGAGTTATTCTCCACAGCACTTGGTTTTTATAGCCACATGCGAAAAATGGATGTTTTACCTGATAAATATACTTTTCCTTCGGTTATCAACTCTTGTGCTGCTTTGGTGGATATTGAGATGGGACAAGTTGTTCATCAGAACGTTTTGAAGATGGATTTAGGCTCAGATTTGTATATTGGGAATACGTTGGTCGATATGTATTCTGGACTTGGTTGTTTGGACGAAGCTTTAAAGATGTTTGATGGAATGCCTGAAAGGAATGTTGTGTCTTGGAATAGTTTAATTTCAGGGTATAGTGCAAATGGGTATTGGGTAGAAGCATTGGAAGTTTATAATATGGCAAGAATGGCGGGAATCATGCCGGATTCTTTTACTCTTTCAAGTGTTTTGCCTGCATGGTGGAGGTTTGGTTAATGTTAAAGAAGGTGAGCTAGTTCATTGTTTGGTGCAGAAGATAGGAGTTCACTACGATGTTCTGGTAAGCAATGGACTTCTTTCTATGTACTTCAAGTTTAATAGGCTCATCGAAGCACGAAGGATTTTTGATGAAATGGTTGTTAGAGATACTGTTACTTGGAACACGTTGATATGTGGGTATTCTCAGATGGAGTTACATAAAGAGTCGATCAAGTTGTTTATGCTGATGGTGGATAAGTTTAAGCCTGATTTACTAACTATTACTTCTGTTCTTCGTGCTTGCGGTCATGTAGGCGACTTGAAATTTGGAAAATTCATTCATGAGTACATGAAGAAAAGTGGGTTTCAGAGTGATGTTACTGCTGATAATATTCTTATTGATATGTATGCGAAATGTGGTGACTTGCCAGCTTTGCGTGAAGTATTTGACAGAATCATGTGCAGGGATTCTGTCTCGTGGAACTCGATGATCAATTGTTATATTCAGCATGTTGATTATGATGATGCAGTGAAACTTGCTAAGACTATGAAGGTTGATCTGAAAGTTGATTCCATTACTTGTGTGATGCTCCTCTGTTTCTACTCGATTAGTTGACAAAGACCTGGGGAAATAAATTCACTGTGATGTAACTAAAATGGGATTTGATTCAGACCTCATTGTCAATAACTCTATGGTTGATATGTATGCTAAATGTGGGCTGTTGAGTGACTCAGTGAAAATATTTGAAAACATGAAAACTCATGATAGAGTAACATGGAATACGATTATAGCAGCATGTGTTCAATCTGGGGATTTCACTTTTGGGCTGAGAATGATTAATCAAATGAGGACTGAGGGAGTGATGCCTGATGTGGCCACTGTCCTAGTCATCTTGCATATGTGCTACTTTTTCGTTTCCAAACGGCAAGGGAAGGAGATCCATGGCTGTATTTTCAGATTCGGATTTGAAACAGATGTTCCAACTGGTAATGCACTAATTGAAACGTACTCTAAATGTGGTAGTTTAAAAGATTCTGCCCAGGTTTTTGACCATATGAAAGTGAGAGATGTGGTGACATGGACTGCTATGATCTCTGCATATGGGATGTATGGAGAAGGCCGCAAAGCGCTGAGAGCTTTTGAAGATATGAAAGCAGCCGGTATTATTCCGGACCATGTTGTCTTTGTTGCCATCATCTATGCTTGTAGCCATTCAGGTTTAGTAGACGAGGGTTTGGCTTGTTTCGACCAGATGCAGAAAGATTACAACTTGGAGCCTAGAATTGAACATTATGCTTGTGTGGTTGATCTTCTTTCCCGTTCTCAATTGATATCTAAAGCTGAGAGGTTTATAAAATCAATGCCACTGAAGCCAGATGCAAGTATATGGGGCTCTCTACTTAGTGCATGCCAATCGAGTGGCAACACCGAGGTTGCAGAACGTGTTGCTGAGCATGTCCTTGAACTGAAGTCAAACGATACCGGGTACTATGTTTTAGCATCAAATGTCTATGCCAGTTTAGGGAAGTGGGAGCAAGTGAGAATGATACGAAAATCCATAAAAGCTAGAGGGCTCAAAAAAGATCCTGGATGTAGCTGGATAGAAATAAAAAGAAGATTGTATGTATTTGGAACTGGGGATAAGTTCTTTGAACAGTTTGAAGAGGTTAATAAGTTATTAGGGATAATTTCGGTTTGATGGCTAAGGAAGGTTATGTTGCTGATCTGAGATATGTTTTGCACGACGTTGAAGAGGATGAGAAAAGAGACCTGCTTTGTGGGCACAGTGAAAGGCTTGCGATGGCGTTTGGATTATTGAACACAGAGCCCGGGACACCATTGCAGATTATGAAAAACCTTCGCGTTTGTGGGGATTGTCACACTGTGACCAAGTATATATCAATGAATATGCAACGGAAGATATTAGTAAGAGACGCCAATCGTTTTCATCTTTTCAAGGATGGAACCTGTACTTGTGGAGATCGTTGGTGATGCTTCTCTTCATCATATTTTCTAGCTAGACAAACCTGTCCATGCTGATGCCTCAATCCTCTTCATCAAAAGGAAAATGAAAAAGAACAGATTCATTTTGCTAATGAGGTGCGCAAATACAGGCTTACATGTTGACACATTCATATATATATATATATATATATATATATATATATATATATATATATATATATATATATATATATATATATATATATCTCGAAGGCCTTGCCTTGACAAACAGTTTTGAACTTATTGCAGAAATATGATGCCTAAATTATAATGTAAACCATCCATGGAAAGACCTCATAAACAGATCACTTTGCAGGATGGTATTTTTCATAAAATGCTTGGTACCTGATGATCATCTTGTCATGAGGAGGCCATGTATCTTTAATCACAGGGAGTTCATAAAACTCTTGCATCCATGCCAACAACAATGGATATCTCTCATCAACTATTTTCAAGCCACTTACCTCTTCAAAAACACAGATCAAGTTAGCCAGCCAACCGAAAACAAGATCCGCCAGTCCTATCTTCTCTCCGCCGAAGTATTTCTTTCCTTTCAGCTCTTCTTCAACAAACTTCAGATTCTCCACCGATGCCGCCATAGCTTCCTCTCGATCTTTCCCTTCCTTGGTGAAAATGGCCCAAATTGTTGGTAAAAGCTGCATCATTAACAAGAACAAGATGTCACCCATGGTCTGTTGTATAAAAACCATACAGAAACTGAAAATCTTAACCTTTTCATCATTGAACTTGGCCCAGAACCGTTCCTTGGCTCGTTCGAAAGGATCTTCAGGCAATATAGGATTTTGGTTCCATGTCTCATCAATATATTCAAGAATCACAAGTGATTCTGAGACTGGCTTTCCATTGTGAACAAGAACTGGGACTTTCTTGTAGACAGGGTTATACTGAAGAAGAAGAGCACTCTTGTTGGATAGATCTTCATCTATTGCTTCATATTCTATACCTTTGAGCTTCAACGCCCAAACAACCCTTAAACCAAAACGGGATGACCATGTCTTGAAAAGCTTTACTTCTTCTGCCATATTCCTTGCTATGTTTTCCTGTTTAACAAGAATATATACAGAAACCAGAAAATGGCACACTTTCGTAGGAGACAGAAAAGTAATAATAAGGGTAAACCACGTATTTGGTCATTCACATATTCTCAAAGTTGAGTTGGTCACCTAATTTTTCTTTCTTAAAAATCATAACTAACGTTACGTTTTGGTTCTGTTTTGACCACCCATTGTTAAAAAATCAATGATAATGTTGATGGGTCACCATAAGGTAATATCACATCATTATTGAAAAAAATAAAAAGTGTCACGTCAGCAATTATGTATAATTTTGGTGACCAACACGAAATGAAAACGTAACGTTAGGTATGATTTAAAAAAAATATCTGGGTGAACAAAACAGAATTGCGAGAATAGGTGAGTGATCAAAATATGTAATTTATCCTAATAATAATTCACCTAATTTTTTTCTTCAAAATCTTATATAACATTACGTTTTAGTTTTGTTTTGACCACCCGTCATTAAAAAATCAATGATAATGTTGATGTGTCATTATAAGGTAATATCACATCATCATTGAAAAAAATAAAAAAATTTGTCACGTCAATAGTTATGTTTAATTTTTAACAGTTGGTAACCAACAAGGAATAAAACGTAACCTTAAGTATAATTTTGAAACAATATCTGGGTGATCAAAACAAAATTGTGTGAATAAGTGAGTGACTAATACATAATTTATCCTAATAATAATTATGGAAAATTTTATCAAATTGACGTGATGTTATTAGAATATTTGAGTTTGTGAATATATTCTTTAGAATTTTAATGGGAAATTATATTACAACCCATTTTTTCTATATGATGATGAAATGTATGTGAGAAAACTGGACCTAAAGTCACTTTTTCTCTGGTACATTAATTTTTCAGGTTTACTCATGTACTATTTGTTTTTAAGTTTAACTAGACACTGTCACATGTAATGAAAAATAAATTAATAAATATTAAAATTCTTTAAACATAAAAAAATCAAATGAAATCATAAAATATTTTAAAAATCTAAAAATTCTAGTTTTCTTTTGAATAACTCATAACATTTTAATAAAATTTGGAATTTTCAATTTGCGTATGAGTTTTTTTTTTTACATTTTGTAATGATTTTATGAAATATTTTTTTAATAAAAATCTAGTATAATTATAACTTAAAAAAACAAAATTTTTTAAAAGGAGATTTTTAAAATTATTTTACTTTCAAAATTCTTTTGCATTTTATATATTTTTATTTTCTAAAATTTTTGTTATATGTGACATGTTATAATTAAACCATGTGATTTCTAAAACAATAACAACAAAGAAGAAAGTGTTAAATAGAATAATAGTATAATGAATATACTCAGAAAAATTAGAATAAAGTAGATGAAGAAAATGTGATATTAAGCTAAGAATTAAAAAGAAAGAGAATAACCAACAACTAGTTGATCTACTGATATGAGATAATAGATTTTTTAAGTAAGGTCAAGAGTTTGAATATTAACGTTTGTGAATAAAATAAATTGAATTAAGAAAATTATCTTAGCATTTATAATATATGATTTGAATTAATTGATTAACAAATCATATAGTTATAAAAAAAGTAAGAGAGAGAAATGTGAAATTTTATTTGGAAATGTATGGAACGATTGTGATGATCGGTCCACATGGTCGGCTCTTACTACTATGTAAGGTATACCAAATAATAAACCAAATATAATACGGCACTAATATATTATAGAAATTAATTTCAATTTAATATTTTTTAATAATTTAAGAGGATTACAAACAATAGTGAATTCATTGAGGGATGAGGATGGACACGTCTTCGTCTTAAAATTTGATTTTTTTCGATAAATTACTTATTTTATTTAATGTGTCTACCTTGGAACTTTATTAGTATTTACCTTGAAACTCGAATTTTCTTCGATGTCTAACCTAAAATTTTATTTATGTCCATCCACTAAAAAATTATATGTTGTTAACATATATGTTCTCACCCTAAAAATATTTTTAGATCTATCACTAATTACAAGATAATTGTAGACATCATCTTTCGTCCCCATAAATAATTATATGATTATATATATATATATATATATATTATATAATATATAATGTTATTTACATATTTTTTGCTATTTTTACACGCCCAATGAAACCCAGGTACAGACAGTGGCCCAGCAGAAGCCAAAACCAACAAATAAGCATTATAGTTTGATTAGGACTCTATAACCGAGTCTAAAAATAGGTTTATGTTTACTACTATAAATAAGATGTAAACTCTCATGATTTTGATATACGAAATACACACGATTTACACAAGAAAATCATTCGAAATAGGTAGAGATGCACAAGCAATCAAAGCATTTGTAAGGCTTTCGAATGCGAAATAAAATAAAGGTATTATTTATTTTACCTTCGATTCGTTTGTGTGGCTTGCATGTTGTTTTTTCGGTTTAAAACCTAATCGTCGATGACCGAATGGGGGAGTTCGAATCTTCTTTTCTATATCTACTCTCACTCGAGGCGATTTTTAAAAAACTATTTTGGTTTTTGAAACGAGGGAATCAAGGGCTTTCGAAAAAGCAAAAATTTTTTATGTTTCGCCACCGATCAACGGCAGCCGACGAGGTGGCGGGCCACCGATTTTCTGGAAATCGGGGTGGATGTTCTTCGTGTTCATGAAGAACACATGAACAACGAGAGAAAACGATGAAGAGGGGGTTGAATCGGTTTGGCCAAATGAGAAATGAAAAATTATGTTTAAAGGTTGGCATTTATACCAACCCGCAGGCCGACCCGAGACCCGACCCATGGGCAAAGAGATCAGCGTGTTTTACCGAATTTAGGGGGAATTGTAATTTCAGTCCCCTCATTCTTCAACATCTCTATTTTGACCCTTAATTTTGATTTTTACCCAATTTTCTTTTAAATCGTACACCCCAAGTTACCAACCTTTCAATTTGGTCCCCTCGTTTTTTTGTTTTTTTATTATTTTTTTAATATTATATTTTTTATATTATTTTCTTTAGTATTAATATTATATGTATATATATTTTCTTCCCTTTATATTTATTTTATTAATATTAATATTAGTATTTATATATATATATATATATATATTATTTTTATTATTTTATTTTCTTTATATCTATTTTCTTTATTTATCTATTTTTATTTTTTCTTGCTTTTATTTATTTATTTATTATGTATATATTATTTTTACTATTATTTTCCTTCATTTTATTTATTTCATTTTTTTCTTTTCTTTATTTTTTATTTTTTGTTTATTTTGTTTATTTTTTTGTTTATTTATTTTATTTTTTTATTTTATTTATGTTTCTTTATTTTCATTTTGTTTATTTTATTTACTTTTTATCTTTATTTCATTATTTTTATTATTTTTTCTTTACTCATTTTATTTTATTTCTTTATTTCATTTGTTTATTTATTTATTTTTATTACCTTTTTTATCTAACACGTTTCTTGACTTTTTAAGGATGTTTTCAAATCAATCTATGGTAAGTAATTCAGATCATTTTTTACCTTTTTTTTAATTAAACTTGCAATTTTCTTAATTAAAGACAACTGGAAATTAACTAGTATCGAAAGGGCAGTTCAAGGGTACTAACCCTTCCTTGACTGTAACCGACTCCCGAATCCGACATATCTTTGGAAAGATGCAGATCAAGTAAGAAATAAAGGTATCCAGTCAACCTATTTGTTCTTAAATAAATGATCGGTGACGGCTCTAACACATTTCATTCAAGTCGAAGCCCAATTTCGGGCCCACCCGAAAGACGGTTCCGACAGCTTGGCGACTGCGCTGGGGACAGGTAAGTGAGTCAGGCTAAGGTAATTTCCAGTTGTATTTTTAATGAAAAGGGTAAGTTTAAATTTTAAGGTAACTTTTTGATCCTTATTATTTACTTTTTATTATTTTTTTTCAAATAAATAGTTGTACTGACGGTCTCTTTCAATGATTTCAGCCTTTAAAGCTTTTTCCATCTAAGGCTCTAAACCCGAGCTCCAAACCC